ATGTTAAACTTTTTAAGAACGATCTATGTATAGCCTAGGTAAGTGTCGTCTTAAGATATGATTATTGTTCTTCAGGTCGAGTTTCGAAGAAATATCCAAACATGTACCTACGGGTTATTATGCCTTAAACTTGGTAATTTTTTTCGCCTATATTGTTTCGGGTATCGCATTTAAATTAACACCAGAGACAGTACATATCATTACCATCTGCAGAATACAAAATAATGTATTTATTGTTTTTTTTACGTTGATGAATAAATTGACTGATGGGGGAAGATTTCTAGAATTGTTCAAATTCAGCACAACATAAAAAAAAAAAAATTTTTCTCATTTTATGTTTTTACGGCGTGTTCCTTTTGACCTGTACACATTTTGGTAGGAGAAACTTGTTTCATAGTTCTGGGCCTGAATATGCAAGAATACAACACTTCCAGTGGGTTCTTGATAGTTTTTTTTTTTCTCTCCAGCTTTTTATTTTCGCACTTATTGTTATGCTTATTTATTCATTATTTTTTACCAATGGCACAGTTATTTAGGTCGAAAAGACACAGCTTTGAACTTCCTAGCCACCGAGCATGTGATGAGTAGTGCCTTCTGAGAACGAGTTTCTAACAATGACCATCTACACAATCTTTTATGCAGTGAAGAGCGATTTAAGATAAGCTCGACAATGCCCTCTTTCCCCTTATTGTCTTCTTTAACAGTCCGAAATATCTGGGAGAGGTGGGGGGGGGGGGGGGGGGGGGGGGAAGACTGAAGCTTCCCCCCCCCCCCCCCCTCCCCCCGTTTTTCCTCTTTCGACGCCACTGGTATGGTAGAATGCTCCTCGACCTCAAGTTGCGTCAGCTTCTGTGCTTTTCGCTCGGCGTTTCTCTCACCCCAGAAAATAAAACTCCAAAGCAATTACAAACAAAAAAATTGTCAAGGTGCAGGCGAGCTGGTGTATGTTGATCATGATGCAAAATCCCAAAACTAGGAATGAAATTCGCAAAAAATAGTGTAAGAAGAAAGAAAAAAGGGGACAAGACAACGTCTCAAACTCAGCTGAGTTTAGTTTGAGACGTTGTCCTGAGCTGAGTTTGAGACGTTGTCCTGTCCCCTTCTTTCTGCCTTCTTACGCTTTTTCTTTCAAATTTCATTCCCAGTCTCAGGATTTTGCATCATGCACAAACTAAACTTACTATATGCCAGCGTCACTCAAGCGGCGTTCGATCGGATTACTACCAGCGTGCAAGGGGGTTGGGGGCAGTTTGCCAGATAACTTCAAGGTTTTTCTGAGCCTCAACCACCTGCCTGCCCCTGGCCGTTTCGAACTGGATGAGTATCGTTAAACAGTGTGTTCGTAGGATCACTATTTCGTGATGCACGTTAATGACCACCCCGGGCTGGCGGTCACAATTACTGATCTATTGTCACACGTCACTCTGCCCTGGCAAATATTCCAGCACATCCGGGACGCTCGTCGTCTCATTTAATTGCCTGACCAACTTCGCGCAGTCTAAATAACACACCCGAACTTTTCTAAACCTGATTTCGTGAAAACCAGTGAGGCGTGAAAACGTTATTTGAAACTGAAACTGTGTCGGAACATGAAAACCGGACTTCAAACTTTGCGCACTTGGACTTCAAAGAAATCAGAAAACTTCGAAGTTTTTTTTGTTTTTATTTTTTTGAATTTGGCCTTAAAAGGGAATTGAAATTTTCGAACTTTTTAAACTTTATGTAGAAAGAAATATGAAATCTTTGTATTTATCAAACTTTATTTCTTTAAGAATTCGAAACGTTCAAATTTTTCGAATCTTAGATCCAAAGAAATTTGAAACATTCGAATCTCTCGAATTTCAAATTAAAGAAGTTTGAAAGCTTCGAATTTATCGAACCTCAAGAAAACAAATATTCGAAATAATCAAACCCGAACTTTTAGAAACCGTGAAAGCTTCGAACTTCTCGAATTCTAAATTCCATGATTTTGGGAAGTTATGAATTTTTCGTATTCGGACCTTCCTCGGCCGAAAATATAGAAACCTTTCGAATTCGAACATCAGTTCGGTTGGAAAATATCGAAACCTTTCAAATTCGAACATCAGTTCGGTTCAAAAATATTGAAACCTTTCGAATTTGAACCGAATTTGCGGCATCCCTAGTTTTTATTGTTTTTTTTTACCTTATAGTAGAATCGCTTGCTGACATTAATTTTCGTGTGCATGTGAGTTTGTGAACAGACAGTTTATGTGGGACTCCTGAACGAACTCTAGCAAAAAATCCACCAACAAACTATAAAAAGAAAATTTTAAAAAAAAGCTTTTTAGAGTTTGTGTTAGTAGAGGACTTCAAAATGGGAGAGATCTTTTTGCACGAAACCTAACCTAGGGCTCGGTTCTACATCAATTATAGACCTGTCAATTTCGAAGTTCGAGAGCCAGATTTTTTTCTTTTTGGCATGCAATCAAGCGTTTGTTCATAGCAAGATGAAAGCAAGACGTGAATCAGAATCCACTGGTACCATCCTTTCGACGCTATTACTCGCCCACATTTTTAAACACAACACAGCTTGTGTCTCTGGCTAAACAGAACAATTCAAACAAATGTGATATGTCCCAAGGAGTCTCGGTTGATCGTTACAAGTCGGACGCAAAAATAGTTTTCTTACCTTATTGCCTGTGTTCTAGAGTCTAAAGCAGCCTTCAACAACTACATCTGCATCTGAATCCCCGTGAAGGTCATTCACGGGATCGCCGCAGTAGGTTGATGTTGTCACAATCATGATCTCCACTCGTCGTCGAAAACATGCCGCTTGGTTCTTGCGGGGAATGAGTGGCGCAATCGTACACACTGCGACGGCTTTGCCCCAATCACAATATCTCCGCTCGTCGTCGAAATTACACCTCTCGCTTTTTCCCGGGCACGAACAAACACGAGCGGCACACTCCTTTGCACCCTCCTTCAACTATGTTCGACAGGCATAAAATAGTTTCGCTCAAACACTCACGGCGACGCCACGCAGTTGATGAAGTGATGATGTTCTCACACACGCGCTCCCATACCCGAAAAACACGAAGCAATTACACGCCTTGATTGATTCTTGGCCGTCTAACTTTGTTGAATGTCTCGCATGTATAAGAGTTTCCACTGGGCCATCAGGTAGGGCCACGTAACTTGCCTCGGAGGCCAAATAAAACGAGATGCCGTGCTTTTTCTTGGCACCGTATCATCCAGAAATGCAGATTGATCTACCTTCTGTCTAGTTTTCGACATACACACCTTTTCTGATTTTCCACCAAAGCAACTTAAAAGACGCGCTTGCTCATTCTTGCTCATTGAAACATACACAATAAGCTCGTGAACAGGAAGTATTCTAGGTCACAGGAAGTTCCGCCGTTGCTCATTTACGTTTACCTTGGAATACCATGTATAACATAGATCGTGCTTGCTATAACTAGCACTCCGCACTGAAATTTCAGTAGATATAAGCTTTTAAGGCCCTGTCACACTGAGGCAACAGTTGGACAACTCTATCCGGCAACACGGGGAAGTCGTGTTGCCGGCGACCCTGTCACATCGAGGCAACAACAACAGTCGGGCAACATGTTGCTGCCCCTGGCAACCGTGTTGCCCGATTTATTGTCCGACAACCCTATCACACCGCGCTGACGGCGAGGACAACACGGGGAACACTTCGCCAACTTGATTGTTTACCTTCGTTCGTGTGCGGCGCAGAATCGCTGGAAATGTGACTCTACAAAAGGCTAGTGCATTCAAGGGGCCGGGAATTACTACGGTACGACATCAACCAGTGACTGTGATTAGAAAACTTGACATGGGGAGTATTTTCCGCTCTTTATTTTATCAAATGTTGTTTATTCACTGACAAAGCAGATAGCCCTAACCGAGAAAAGTGACATCGCTGATATATGTTCGGGATTCACGCCACCGTATGAAGTGTTTCTGTCCGGTTCTTTCATGCAATTCCTATTTCTACTGTAAAATTGCATTAGCACCGGCAGTACCCCAAAGCGTCTTTTGTTACGTGGTGTTGAGCTGAACTGACACTGCTTCAAAACTGCGACACCGACACCATCGGCCTTCATAACAATCGGTGGAATAAATATTTTTCAACACAGTCTACTGGACTACCGCCTGCTATGTGATCGCTTCATTCCCCCAAAAGGTCCTGGGTAATTTTAAAACAAATCAGGTGTCTGGTAGCAGCTGTTTCCAAGTTCCAAGCATCAACAATCATGATCAGAGCGGTCGTTTTATGCTTTGATTTTTTAATCTTTGGTTTTCTGGATTATTTTTATTATACTTTATTAGTGGGTGAGTAGGCAAGCCATTTTATTTCACTATCAGTAATGTGAGCTGGTCTCTTGACAGTTCTGATTTCAAAACCCGTCTGAACGTTCCCGACCGTAGCTGTGACCATTTCGAAAATCGCTTTCCGTAACTATGCAGCAAAAATATTAATCGAAAATATTTTAGCTGCACGCCAGTTTTGATTATTGTTAAATAATGTATTCCAAGCCTTTGTTTGAGCAAGACTTTATTGATAGGGGACTAACTCTACCATCGAAGCTATCTATGTTGTTGTGTTGCCGGCCCGAAATTTGCTCAGCCAGCAATCAGGGCGACACACGTTGTCTAACACAAGTTGCTGCTCTTTTTGTTGCCAAAAGCTGACATACCGAGGCAACATTTTAGGGGTCGTCCATGTTGTCGTGCTGTTGCTGCGATGTGACAGGCTTGTCGGACAACACGGGGAGCGAGCAACAAGTTGCCCGACTGTTGGACAACGTGTTGTGTTGCTGTTGCCGTCGTGTTGCCTCAGTGTGACAGGGCCTTTAGCAATCCTTACATAATAACTTAGTGTATCGTAAGAGAGGCTAGCGCTTGCCCCCCTTTCTGGGGTCGTGAATAAAGGTTACATGGATATGGCTCAATCCGCTTCCAAAGTGCAAGTGGCATTGTCGTCCCCAATTTTACGGGTGCAGCCTGTGACTCACCAGCATTGTGCCTACCTCCTGGGTAGGGACCGTCCAGCTGACAGATCAGCCCATTTGGGCACATGAGGGCCTGGTACTTCAAGGCGTGGACTCCCTTACGGGCATAGAAGTAGATCTGTTGGTCCTCCGAAGGCCGGCATATGGGTTGCGCAGTGCTCTCAATGAAGGCCCAGCAGTTTTGTAGTGGAGCCCCCTTGCGATGGACGGCCTAAAAGCAATCACGGAGAATATGTGGGCGAGTTTACGTTTAAGCACTTTCCCTGCCTGTAAAGGGTTTTACATATACATGGCTCCAGCAAAATTATTCACAGCGTGTTTTTCAGCGAAAAAATAAGCTATGCACCACCGACCGCTCGGTCTTCGTCTAGATATAGCTTTAGCGATCCCAAACCAAACGCCAAAGTTTCAGAACTAGCCGTTATCTCATTTAAAAGTCACAAGTGACCTTTAAGAAATTTTTTACGGGAAACTGGTGGCCGACAAAGCCCACGAATACCTGACGATGAATGGCATGAACTACATCTACAAGCCCCCTTTTCCCCATTGAAAGTTTCCAAAAATCACTTATAACTTTGGGATAAGACAACGGTTAGACCTGAAACTTTGGTATCTGGTTCGGGTCGCCAGCACTACACTTGGAAGGAGGCCGAGTGTTCGCCGATGTGTAGTTTATTTTTTGCAGTGAAAAATATCCCGCAAGCGTTTTTGGGCACACACTGTACGGCTGGGCCATCCTCATGCATATGCAGCAAGGAATATGTCAAATGGAGCACTCAATACAAAAATTGTGCAAATTAAACTTAAGGAATGCATATAAAACAGAAATTGTAGCTAAATGTGCAAAGGAATAGAAACTAAAATGAGGTTAAGTGTGTCGCAGTACAAGAACTGTTTTAGTTCTCACATTGCCAACAATTCTAACTGCAGTTTATTTCTTTTTATATAAGAGCGTAGCTGAAGCTACAAACACGAGCATGTGGCCTGGATAATGTTTGCACTACATGAACACGCAACGCAAGCTAGACAGGAACACTGAAAGCCCAGAGCTTGCTCTCGTAGTTTGTGTTACACTCGCACTTGAAGTGATATAGAGAATGGTCAGTGAGATGGGTTATCTCACGCACGCTATTGTTGTAAGGAACTAATAAATGTTTCATTGAATATTGCTCAGGTTTATGTGTCCGTTAGGACCAATCTGCTTAATATCACGAATCTCATACAAAATGCCTCTGCCACACAGCAAAATTTGATGTAATTTCCATCAAATTACATTAGCTGATCGGACAATCATTGCGTGCCACTCCTGGCGCGGCGCGATGCTCATAGTCAGGATTGCAACCTGATTCACCAACAATTTAATGTTATTCGATAGAAATTAAATTAACCTTTGTCGTAAGGAAGGGCCACCTTTACCACCACAGAGAATCATCTCCCCAGGGTGGCACCAACTCGGCAATCCACGTTTTCCTAAATGATGGTTCTAGAGGTTTTGGTTTAAAAACAAAGCATCATGATCTATGAATTCACGAGCAATCGTGACAGGCTCGTGCCAGGGCTCCTGGAGTGCACGTGCGTTCTCGGCCCAAACAGCTCGAACCGGCGATTTACTAAAAGGGTGGATTGGGCCCGAGTCCGACGTATTGATTAGGCACAAAGTCCACCCGAATGCTGACACAACATTCGTGTTCAACCTCTGTTGGCACTCAATCTCGCCGTGATGACGTTAGAATTCCAATGCACGGGCTTTGATTGTTCTGGGTGGCCTTGGCATGCACCAACCAACGTTGCTACATTACCTCAGTTGTGGAACTCCCGCGGACGGGGGCACACCCCCTCCCCCCACTTACTTCTGTCCGCCTCCCGTCGTTCCAAGCGCCATCTAAATTTTCGTTTACGAACTGTGCTTTCCATAGAGTACAATGGAACGCTACCTGGACGCTGCGCTTTGAAACGTATGTATTCCATAAATACACTGCAGTTACCATAGCAGCCGTCCGGTCCGTCAAATGACGGGAGGCGAGTCATGGTGAGGGAGGGGGGGGTACAGCTTGTGCATGCAGCGTCTATGAGCAGTTCCATAACCGAGCTAATCTAATAACGTTGGCACCACTGATCTCTATAGCCTCGTTTACATGAAAGCGACTTCAGCGCATCGACTCCACTCGTTCTTCTAACGAAGCCGACGCAGCAACATTTACATGAACGCGCACCAAGCCATACATGAAGGTAGCGCCATGCTGTGTCAAAGCTCGAAGTTATGCAGTTCCGGCACCAGCCGCACCACGTTTTCTGGTGCATCGCACGTGGAGGCCCTTAGACGCATTCAGTGAACGTAAAGATTGTGCCCGCTGTCTTCGGTGCTGTGGAAGAAGCTACGAGACAGAAGAAACATCAAAACCCAAGCGTTTAGGGCTCCAGGCCGGGCCGCCAGGTCACTCTGGACCAGAGGCAATGTGTGTGCGCACGCTTTCAGGAAGCCTCCGCGCTTCGCCGCGCCAGACCTCGCCGATCGCAACCGGACCAACCAGACCCCGAGTCCGAAAGGCTCCTCCGCAGTCAGGAACGGCACCGAGGTAGGAACTGCTCGTTCTGCGCCACCATGCAGTGCTCTACAGTGCTCGGAGCTCTCAGTGTCATTCGTGCTTGCGCCGAAGCCTTTGGCACCCCTTCAGACGCACAAGTCGTACTTCGCAAGGCTTGGACAGGGGCCGAACTCACCGAGCAGCTCCGCTATATTCCGCTTACTTGTGATGGCAATAAAAGCTTGTGTTTGTTCTCAGGAAAAAATTGCGGGCGACCATACTGGACCACTCTCCGCGCCACCGACGAGGTAGGCCGCTGCCATGTTCTCAGCTGTTCACTCGCTCCCGCGGCGACCGCCTTCCCAAAATCCTACCCGTTTCAAAATGCGATGCGACCTCCGTTTACATGGGCTGAATGAATGCACACTCGCCATCTCGATCCCCTCTGTCTGGCGACTTGAATGCGATGCACTTTCTTTGCGCATTATGCCGTTTACATGACCACATTGAATGCGACAACTGGATTCGATGCCACTAAGTCGCATTCACGTAAACATGGCTTATTACAATTGCTGGATTGCATTTGCCCGCTCCGCGAATGCAGCCACTGGTGGCCATCTTTTTGGTATAGTTATATTCCCTCTAGCCAATGTACAGCTGGTGCAGCCACTATCATCCATCCATGGCAGACAGCGTTGTGGCAGTTGTGGGGGCAGGCTGCCAGCAAAATAGCGTGAGCGATATTTCGTGCTCGATTGAAATTGTTTGACGAAACATATTTTTGAAACCAGGCGTGAACGGTAGCCCAATCTTCGAAGACCCGGTAAAAGCTTCACGAAATCGCAGCACCGGGGAAAAGCAGCACAGCACTATATAACAGCACGCATCAAAAGAAGCATCGAAAGCAGACGCCGGTACGGAGCCTGCTTTCGATGCGAGCTGTGCTGTTTTCATCTGGTGCTACGCTTCCGTAGAACTTTCGCCGGGTCCTCAAAGATGGGGCGACCGTTCATGCCGGCTTTCAAGAATCTGCTTCGTCGAACAACTTCAATCAAGCACGAAATATCACCTACGGTAGCATACTAGACCCACGGCTATTTCTATGGCAGCCTGCCGCCATAGCGCTGTCCGCCATATTAGTATGATGGCTTGAGATAATATAACTCTACCAAAAAGATTTCCGACCGTGGCCGCATTCCCGTCCATAGGCGGAGCTGGTGAAACGCGATCCAGCAAGTAGACAGAGATCAGTGGTTGGCACCAACCAACGTTATTAGATTAGCTCAGTTACGAAACTGCTCATAGACGCTGCATGCACGAGCAGTACCCCCCCTCACTCAACACGATTCGCCTGGCGTCGCTCGACGCGCTGGACGGCTGCTTTGGTAACTGCAGTGTATTCTGTGGGATATGTATGTTTCGAAGCACGGCGTCTAGATGGTGTTGTAGCTCTGCTCTATGCAGCTCTATAGAACGCAGTTATAAAACGAAAATCTAGATGGCACTTCGAACGACGCCAGGCAGACTGAAGTGAATGAGGGGGGGTACCGCCTTCCGCAAGAGTTCCACAAGTGAAGTAATCTAGTAATGTTGGCACCAACTCAGCCCTCTGACGTCGCGTCACTGCGGTGGCGCTGCTGTCGGCACTGCGCATGCGCAGACTAATCACCTCAGGCGGATCCGTTTTCTGCGCGGGTTCGTTTGGAAACGGCGCATTGGTGCATCGCCCAACACCATCAGAGCCGGAAAGCTTACGTCGCTCATGCCCCGCAGATGTGCTGGGGTCAGCCACTGGTGACAGGTCAGGTCGTTCAGGAGGAATCCAAACTTCGTCTCGATGTGCAGCATCACTTTGTTGGACACGCTCGAAATGACCGAGTAGTGGCGCCCAAAATACTCCTGCAGGTCACACAGGCGGTTGGGGTACGCCAGTCGGCGTAGGCACATGCATAGGGCTTCGCGAGCAGAGACGCGCACTCCCTGGGCGCTAGTCACGTACTCGGGCAGCTGCAACGCTTTGACGAGCACAGAAAAATCCCTCTTCTCGAAGCGGAACTGGCGGCGAAACGTTTGGCCCGGCATGGCATCTATGTCGAGGAGGCCGTTTCTTGACGCGTACAACCTACGGCGCGGTTTTCGTTCAAGCAGTTGAAGCAGCAACAAAGTTTCTATCTCATCAGATCTGAGCAAGGCTAGACAGTACGGGTCCGAAAGAATACTTGAATAGGCCATGGTGTGATGGTGTCAGCCGTGTCAATGGGAGAACAAGAACACCAAGACACGCACGAACGTCGTTCCGCGTGCTTCGTTTCGCGCGGATGGATTGCATTGGCTTGTTTTTTGTTTGTTTTGTTTATTCACTGGTGTACTGAAGACGCAGTTTGTCTTCTTTTACATAGATGGCGCCGCACTAGTTAGAGCAAGCAGTTTGTGTTATTTTACATAGATGGTGCTGCAGTCGTTTCCGCCGCTTTCTGCTATATTTCCGTAGAGAGCCTAGATTTAAGTGGAGAAAGCAACTCAAACCATAGACCCTTTTACTATGGTGCCTGGAGCGCGTCTTCGACTGGTGTGTTCAGCGTCCTAACCCGCCCATACATCAAAAGTGGTCCCGATATGGCAACAAATGACGCGAGTGTCATGCTGTTGCCTGTCGCGATCCTGGCGGTTGGCCGTAGAAATGCTGGCAAAAAGCACGAGCGAACGCGAGTGTCGCTGTCGTCACGGCGTCCCATTAGGCGTCCCAACTTCCGGCTGCACTAGCTTCCGTGAACTGTCACAGTGGAAAGAGACCTGCAGCAGAACAGGCATCTGCTACATACACCATAACTGTTGGAACGCCGCCAGGGTCGCGACCGGCGACAGCATGACACTTTTATGACGTCATCAGGCGGAAATCGAGGGACCACTTTTTTGGCCGCGGTAAATCAATACCACCTAGAACACAAGGCCTGCGCGTTTCCTCCTCTAAACGTCATCACTAGTAGATCCCCTCAGCGCCCTCTAGCTAGCCCGGATGAGCAACATCGTCTGCTACATCGCCTGCAACATCGTCTGCTCCATTGACTGCTTCAGTGGTTTGTGCAGCAGATAATGAAACAGATGCTCATGTCGAGTGTCTTTTGCTATAGACCTTTTCATTTCAGTAGTTGCCTGACCGTCGGGTAGAGGGCGCTGGCGCACTCGGCGCCATTAGGTTGCTTCAATTTGGTCGGTTTCGGTTTCAACGTACACGCGATTGTGATGCTGTTTTAAGCCACTTTCGATTAATTTTGCGATATGAATTTCTTCCTAGTAGCACACAGCGAATGAAACAATAGTATTGAGCCACTTGGCAAACCACGAAGTGGTTTCGAGCCTAAATTGCGACCTTTTTTTACTAACACTTTATGCGTCTGATTCCGTCCATCATTAATTTCGGCCAGGTTCAGCGGTGAAACAACTGCGCTGATGCACAGGGAAAAGTACAATTGTCCACGACCGTACCTGCGGACACTAATTTCAAAAAGAAAAAAACTAAAATAAAGAGCAGGACAAGCTCCTCCTGCAGCGTGCGCTCTCTGCCTGCCGCCGTGCTTTGGCTGTGCATGCACCGAGCGGTACGGAAGTAGATAGCTCGCGCTCAAGTCAGATATTGAACTGATCATCTTATATTGCAACAGAATATATTGCATGAGTGCTTAGTGAAAAAATCAGGTCGACAACATGATTAACAATCTGCTGAATCACCAAGAACAGATGAACTGACAAGTTTACTGTTCGATGTTTGGTATTCGTACACCAACCTTTTCTAACTTCGAGACTGGAAACGTCTTTTAAAATGACTATAAAAGTTTCATATAATCACGTAGATCATGTAAAAAAGTGATATTGTCTCGGCCTGTTTTATTTAAAGAAATTAAGCGCTCGACAAATATTTTGACAGACCAGCCTAGGCTGACTAGAAACTTTCCTTAACTAAAGTACTCATTTACAGCATTTCAAAATATTGGCCTTATGAAATAAACTTTTTGTTATATGGACATTTGCTTACGACGTTCTCAAGGTATGAGAATGGTAAGATAATTGTGAATGCCAGAATTCAAATAAAGTCTGATATCCATCTTCTGTAAAATTTGCCGAATGAAATTGAAGAGCGCAAAAGAAATTATCTCCGATAAGTTTGGCTGAAGTCGAACGCCACGCGCCACCCAATGGACCTTTGTAGAAAGCTGTTCACTGATTTGAAACGATGCGCTTTGCACATTTTGACGTCGCCATCTACTGAAAGTAACTCCCTATTCGAAGCCGACAACCGGCTGCACTTGGGTGATTTTCATGCAGAATTCTTTTCGGCGTCACATTTTATGAATCATAGGCACTATCAAGTTGTCTGTGGCAGTTTCTTGCGCGGGGAGTCCAAATATTAGTGTTGAAATAAATTAATTGAATCTGCATGGTTATATCAAAAAATGACTTAAGCAATTTAAAGACTATGGACATGGGACCAAGCACGATATACAATTCCGTGGAATTCATGAATAAACCGATAAAGCGAATGCTTATATCACACACGCGATTAAGAACGTAAAACAGATATACGTGTGATATTGCGAACAAACAATTTGCCTAATGTTAAGGTACCATTATTTCTAGCATTAAAAATAATGCAAACAAAATGTTTGTTCCCGCGCCTTGTCCACTAGTTTCCTAGTGTAATCAAAAGGAACTGTTTTCGATCTGTTGGAACTACAAAACAACATGTTTTCAGGAAAAACACGTGGGTAATTACGCTGAGTGTTTTTGTTTTCTTCCTTGACACCAATGCGCACTCATACATATATAATAACATAGTGACAGTTGCGCACACAAGGACAAGGACAGAGAAGGAACACATTGACGTATATATAATAACATTGGGCTTCCCTATTGCAAATGGTCCGCCCTTATTAGTAACCAAACCTCAGTTCTGATAAGTTATTGGTATTTGAACCCTCGAGGTTCTCTTCGAGTCATATATGTATTCAATGGGCGCAAGTGCTAACGCTGATTCCTGTTCCTATAAAAACTTTTCACACGTATCCCGCACGCCGACGGTAAATAATATTCAAAACGTGTTACAAAATCAACTACAGCAGTTGCGCGCATAATGATGTAATGCAATTACATGGTAAGTATAAGTATCGGACGACACTTTACGGAGTAAGGCAAGAGACGCGGTGAAACGCGACGAAAACACGAATTCAACGCATCCGCCAAGGCGCGGACGGGAGAGCGGAGCAACAAGTTGAAGCAACCTAATGGCGGCCGCATCACGTGATTCCAAGATGGCAGCGCCCATGCGGCGGAGGGTGAAAAGGTGCATACACCAACTTATGTTTACAAACAAACCGGAGCGCCCCTAGCGGACGCCACCGGCGCCGCGCATGCGCGGTGGATGGTGGGCAAGAAGCCCGCCGTCGCTCATAAACAAACCATTGAATTGCGTTGTTGTCGGCGTCGGTGGGAGTCCCCGTGCTCTTTTTCGCGTTGGAATTGTTAATGCTACGTCCTCCTAACAATGTCTGACTATTTGAGCGGCTTCAGCAAAACTAACGAGGCAAAACTTTGCGTGAATAATGTGACGTGCGCCGATGCTAACCGCACTCTCGGATTTCTTCGCCGTAACCTCAGACAAGCTACATCCCCCGTAAAACAACTAGCTTATACTACCTTGGTCAGAACTAAATATAGAATTCGCTTCTTCCATATGGTCACCGTGGCAGGCATACCTAACTAACAACCTGGAATCCGTTCAAAGCAGGGCCCTCCGTTTTATTTATTCCGACTATTCCCCATACGCAAGCATATCACGACTTCGCCAATCAGCTAACCTTGACACTCTTTCTCACCGCCGCAGGGTGTCTCGTCTTTCTCTTCTTCATCGGATCTTTTATTACAACAGTCATCTCAGACAAAGTTTGGTATCACCTCCTTACCGCATTTTCCCTCGTCTCGACCATTCTTGTAAACTCCGTCCGATTTCATCGTCAACCGTCACTCACCAAATGTCTACTCTACCATTGGCCATTGACGACTGGAACTCACTGCCTGACGTAATTGTTACCTTATCTGATACTAAGAAATTTTCTGCAGCCATTAGCTTATTTTTTCTAACCCATAACTAGATTACAGCGTGTTTTTGTAGATAAATTGTTTTGTTACTTGTTTTTTTTTTTAAGTGTTCACTCCCTTGTGTAATGCCCCCTGGGCCTTCAAGGAATAATAAATGATGATGATGATTCATTTCACGTGGACGCCGCAGAATGGGCGCTAAAGCCTGACTCCCACGATGAGATTCTGCTCGCTGTTTTCAGACGCGACGTTGCTCGGACTGCAAAAGCGCGGACCGTAGCTGAGATGGTGGACTTCGATACTGAAAACCGCAAGTAGAATCGGGCATTACAAGTCGGTGATGGCCACTGGTAACAATAATGATAAACATCTTCTTGTATCTGTTTACACTTAGCCTACTTACCCCAACCAACCTTCAAAAGTGTTTTGAGGCCTGCACTTAGTTCTTATCGCAATTACCGGGTCAATGTTTGGTTTCCGGGCCGCTGTCGTTTGGACGAGCTGACGACAAAAAGCAGCCAAGTTTGAAAGAGCAGACGACAGTTCGGACGCATGCGTAATGGGGTACGGGCAAGAAGCACCGCGTCCCGCGTCAACAAACCACTCGAATGTCTGTGTGAGTCTGCCTACTCTTTTTCGCGTTGGAATTGTCGATTCTACGTCCTCATCGCAATGTCTTACCACTTTAATCGCTTAAGCGAAATTATCAAGGCTCGTTACGCCGCTAAACTTTCCGTAAATAATTTGACGTGCGGCGATTCATTCGCATGAACGCCGCAGAATGGACGCCAAAACCATGATGAGATTCTTCCAGCTATTTTCGGTAGCGACGTCGCTCGTGTTGCAAAAGTGTAGAAGGTAGCGGCGATGATCGACGTCGATACTGAAAATCGGAAGCGGGAACAGACCAAGCGTAACAAGTCGGTGATGACCACCGGTACCAATGATCAACATCTTGTATCTACTTTTTACACCGAGCCTACTTAAGTCTTTTGAGGTCTGCAATTACTTCTTATTGCAATCACCGGGTCAAAGTTTGGTCTACGGGCCGCTTTTGTTTGAACGAGCAGAAGACAAAAAGCAGACGTTTGAAAGAGCAGACTAAAGTTTGAACGTTCAGGCGGCCGTGTGAATTTGAAGACGCACTGAACCCGTGGGTGGTTCGGACAACTTGGCGGTTTTTTCTCGTTTATGTTGGAACAAAGCAAATACATCTGGCGACCACAAAGTGTTGCCCGCGCACGCAATTGTAGTTCGACAGCGTCTGGTTTGCCCTTTTCACGGCTACTATCCACGTTCTCGGACGAACGGAGGTGGCAAAAACACATGAAAACTGATCTTCAAACCTTT